ATATGGACGCAAGAAAACACAGCAGTTTCGTTTCTGCTGATCTCTTGCCATCTCTTGGAGCAAGAATAAACCAATCAACCAAGCTTCGTAAACACATAATCTCTCCTTTTGATCCACGTTTCAGGTGTTTATTATCTTTTATACACACTTATTTTGTCTATCTTCCCCCGGTTCTGTCTTTGTTTTGTTGTCTTATTGAAATGTGACTTGTTAATGTTTGATTCAGGGCATGGGAGATGTGGCTTGTCATTCTTGTGATATACTCAGCTTGGATTTGTCCTTTTGAGTTTGCCTTCATCACCTACAAGAAAGATGCACTATTCATTGTAGATAACATTGTCAATGGCTTCTTTGCTATTGACATCGTTCTCACCTTCTTCGTTGCGTATCTAGACAGCCACTCTTATCTTCTAGTCGACAATCCTAAGAAAATAGCTATAAGGTGAGTGAAAACAACACAACACTACTAGTAAGGTTTTGTGTGTTTAGAAGTAATTAGACATTTCATAATATGCTAATGTTTTTATGTGATAATTAACATTTTGTTAAGTTTTATTTAGTTTTTAACCTAAAACCAATAGCCGATAAGTGGATTAGCACAATTACTCATGTCTCACTGAATATATTCGCACATATTTTTCAGGTATTTTTTGTTAAAAGGAAACAATTGTTACATAATATGTTATGTATTTTGGGATATGAAACATTTTTGTTAAGTTTCTTAGGTTTCCAACTTTAAATCAACACGACGATAAGTTTTTATATTATTACTCATGTTCCATTGGGATTCTCCGGACTTATATTCTTACACATTTTTCAGGTACCTTTCTACTTGGTTTGCCTTTGATGTCTGCTCAACAGCTCCATTCCAGTCACTGAGTCTTCTCTTCAACTACAATGGAAGCGAAATAGGGTTCAGAGTTCTTAGCATGCTCAGGCTCTGGCGTCTCAGACGAGTTAGCTCACTTTTTGCAAGGTTCATTCTCAATACTAAAATCATAAGCAAACCAATTTGTAGTTTCATGCTCATAAGAGTTACCCTTATTTCTCCTTTGCTTCAGGCTAGAGAAAGACATCCGCTTCAACTATTTTTGGACACGTTGCACAAAGCTCATTTCAGTAAGTCTCAAAAAACAGAGGAAACTCTCCTTACTTCTATAAAAGGAAACTTACAACGTATGTATATTAGGTCACACTCTTTGCAGTACACTGTGCTGGATGCTTCAACTACCTCATTGCAGAGCAATATCCTGATCCAAGAAAAACATGGATTGGAGCTGTGTACCCAAAGTTCAAGGAGGCAAGCCTTTGGAGCAGATACGTGACTGCTCTTTACTGGTCAATTACAACACTGACAACAACAGGATATGGAGACTTACATGCTGAGAATCCAAGAGAAATGCTGTTCGATGTCTTTTACATGCTCTTCAACTTGGGATTCACATCTTACCTCATTGGTAACATGACCAACCTTGTGGTTCACTGGACTAGCCGCACTAGAACCTTTGTAAGTTTGATCACTTTCTTTCGATTTTTCGCGTCATCTGTTCAGTTAAAGCTAATAAGAAAAGATGATTCAACAGAGAGATAGTGTTAGAGCTGCTTCAGAGTTTGCATCAAGAAACCAACTCCCACCAAACATACAAGACCAAATGTTATCACACATTTGCTTGAAGTTCAAGACAGAAGGTCTGAAACAACAGGAGACTTTGAATGGTTTGCCTAAAGCGATTCGGTCAAGCATTGCAAACTATCTATTCCTCCATATCGTTCAGAAAGTGTACCTCTTTGAAGGAGTTTCTCGAAACTTCCTCTTTCAGTTGGTAAGATACTCTCATTTGTAAACTCTTTTCTTGTCCATTTTCTTTGTCCCACAAAGTTACCAACTCTGTTTTCTCTTTCCGACCAAGGTTTCAGATATTGATGCTGAGTACTTCCCACCTAGAGAAGATGTAATTCTACAGAACGAAGCTCCTACGGATCTTTATATTCTAGTCTCTGGAGCAGTGGTGAGTAACTTTAGTTTGAAACAGAATAACTGCATAGGAACGTTATAGTCTTAACATTTTTTACTATCTCTGGTGGTAATTGTGCAGAATTTTACTGCTTACATTGATGGTGAAAATCAGGTATGTGGACAAAATATTTGACCAAGAGATATTCTTTATGATTAAATAAGTAACAATAACCAGAATCCTCATATTCATGTAGGTTCAAGGCAAAGCAGTAGTTGGAGATGCATTTGGAGAGATTGGTGTTTTATGCTCTACACCACAACCTTTCACAGTTAGGACAACAGAACTATCACAAATACTAAGGGTCAGCAAAAAATCTCTAATGAGTGCTATGAGAGCTCATATTGAAGATGGACGTATCATAATGAACAACCTCTTCATGGTAAGTACACAAATATGAAATTAATGGAAACTGAGTTAATGGTTAGGTGTTTTCACACAATTTTAAACTCGTTTTTATCATGAACAAATTTTCAGAAACTTAGAGGGCAACAGTCAATAGCAATTGATGATGCAATCAACCAACCAGACTTCCTCCTCCAGGAGTGGCTTGGTGGTGGTCCAAAGAGAGGTGAAGGAAACGCCAGTGGTCCAGGGAAAGGGCGCAAATATTTACAAATAAATGACTCGGAGAATATTGATTTGGAGTCAACCAGAAGAACTCAAGAACATAGGATTGAGATAGAAGAAGGGGAAAAATTACACAAAGATATTAATGGGAAAATCTGTTCTCATGCAGATCTTACCTCATTTAAGTTTCCTTCTCCGGAAACATATCCATATTGCAGATTCAGTAAACAAGAAGATAGGAGAGTTACCATCCACTTGAAGTCACAGGGAAAAGATTTGTCCAAGCTGATAATCTTACCACCTTCCGTAGAAGAGCTTATGAGGCTTGCAGGTACACAGTTTCATTTCTAAATGCTCTTACAAACAAGGGAGAATGAGAATAATCTCCATAAATTAGTTCCTCATGTTAACCACGTACGATCTTATGCAGGTGAAAAATTTGGAGACAGAAGTTTCAAAATGGTTACAAGTGCGGAAAACGCAGAGATTGATGATGTAAATGTCATTAGAGATGGTGATCATTTGTATTTTTACAGCAATGAGCTTGAAAGCATAAACTCCTGACGTGACTTGTATTATCAATGTTAGCATTTCCATCAATGTATCTTTTACCAAAAAAAAGTATGTATATCAATGATGTAATTTTGTTATCTAGTTTTTATATAAATTGTGTTCATCAAGGAAGAATCTAAAGAACAAAACAGTCGGACGATCTTAACCCACCTAACACTTGATAAACAAGAAAAACAAAATTCAAAAACTATTTTGAGAAAAAATTAAACCATAAATAAGGAATTATACCAAATGCTTAATGGGCCTGAGCCGAACACTAAGCCCAACTAATATACACAATCAAAATCATATTTTCGATTTAGACGCTAAACAAAAAAATGGAGGGTTTTATATGAAGATCTATTATAATTACCTTGCTCACATCTTTTTGTTTCATCGTTACTCTCTATCAAACCAAAAACCCTTCTCCTCTCTCTCTCAAACGCAATGGATTTTTTGTTGAAACACAACCTTCTCAAAAGCTTCATAATCTCTCTCATTCTCACTCTCATCTTCCTTACCTCACCATCATCCTCATCATCATCATCATCGAACCAAGAAACAAGAGTAACTACACAAAAGACAGAACCCTACCTCAACGGCAACGAACCACCGCACCAACTCGTCTACATCAAGAAAATGACGCCGTTTATCTTGAACCCGCGTCAACGAGATCAACACCGTCGTCTTCGTTACAATCACCACTACTACTACTACCGCCATAGCATCCGTCGCCGTGGCCTTAGTCAGTTTCAACGCCGTGCAAACTACTTCAAGATGATGACCAAGAAAAGCAGTAACGGTTTTAACCGTCCGGTCCGACCGGATACTTTCTCTGTTATGCTTCCCAAAGGATTCGTACCACCTTCCGGTTCATCTCCTTGCCATAACCAGAACCCTAACTCCGCTACCACTGTCTTCTGCGATCTTTCTACACAACCTTAAGAGTTCTCCACAAACCGGACTTCGAGATTCCTTAACCACCGGTACGAGAAAACGATTTTGTTCTTCCACTTTTGTAATTTTCATCTTTTTCACAATTTGCATGAGAGATATTCGTCATGATCGATGCATTTATTCACCGTCCAATGTATAAAAGTTTTCTTTTTTGTCATTGCATTTTTTTTATGTCATTGCATTTATGTTCATCTAGTTTTGCTTAGTTACAAGTACGTAGCATATATCAGATATAGGGCCTTAACCAGCTGTAAATAATTTCACTAAACAACATTTATTTTATCGTACGTGCGGCTAAACTATTTTAATTTGAGAATTGAATCCAAGAGGTCGGTAAAATAATATAAAAACGATGATACATTAGTACAGATGGAGAAAATAGCATATCTGCCTCTGTTTTCAAGGTCAAAACGCATCGTTGTGCGGCAAGAACAAGAGAGTGAGTATATTAAGCCGGTAGAATTGGAAAAAAAGAAAGCATGTGGATTTGCATCGTGAGCACAAGCTCTTGTTTCATGGCTTTTTTTCTTAGCTTCAGTACCGTCCACTCCAACGCATACATTTTCATTCTAGTAATTTATATATGTTAGTTTAGAGTAATATACAAAATATCCAATAATATATATGGTAGAAAATTTTTTTTCAACTACTATATGGTAGAATTAATTAATCAGTTATGTCTATGTTTTTAAGGGCTTTCCATTTAAAATGGGAAAGTGATACAAAGCTATGACCAAGAACTCAAAAAATTTAGGAAAGCAAGAGAGAGATATGCTTAAGCATACAAGTGGAGACATCAAATTAGCTAGTTTCGAGTTCGAATGACGAGGCTATTTGAGTTAGGGAAACAATCCGTGGTTGATTCCAAACCGCTAGTGTTTGTGGATTCTTAGCCCAAGGGTCAAAGTACCACAAAGCTTTTCATGTGCGATAAGCCGCCAATATAATTTTGTTTTTCTTGCCCAATAAACTGGTTTTTGTTTATTGACTAATAGGTTATCGATATCCATATGACCAATTTACATGTTTATGGATTATAATATTGAATTGAATATGAAATTATTTTTATCGAACTTAAATAATTAAATTGTTTACATAGATATCTCCTAACCAATTCAAATTATTATATATATATACTCAATAACTTTCCCTCTAAAATAGTCTTGACATTACAACTTGAATCATCGCCAATATCAAAATTGTCCAACACTCCAAGGTCGTCGTGGCCCTATTCACTGCCTGTAAGAAGACAAAACAGAGAACTCATCATTATTACAACATTTATACTCATTGTGAACAAAACAAACCATATTATAAAAACTAATTTGTACCTTAGTGGCAGAGGATGAATAAGTGACAGATTGTGAATTCGCCGTCGTGGTAGACATCGTAGAGAATCCCAAGTTGTAAGCCAATGATCCATCGGGTCGAAAGATCCCATAGTTCTTCTCAGAAGTAGGACCCGGTTTCATATCTTCATTGAACAAGGCAAAGATATAAACATCTAGCCTTGAGTTCCGTCTAGCCGGAGTACCTTCTCCGGCGAATTGTCTCATCATAAGATTCCTATTATACGTGGCAGCATTAGAAGGAGACGCTCCAACCTCTCCAGCGTCTCCTTTAGAAGGCCACCCTGTTTCCGCAACCCTAACTTCTATGTTACGGTACCCTAACTTCGCAGCAGCGAAAGCAACCGCGTCGACTTGAGCATACATCATGTTGTCGTAATGTAGTCTTGTGTTGGGATCGGTCATGCCGACGTTACGGTTGAAGAGAACGTAGTCGATGGGGATCTTGTCGGGGTTGTCTTTGTAGGCGAAGTAAGGGTAAGCATTGATCCAAAAGGGAGATCTCGTGGCTTCCAAGAATTGTAGAAGTTGTTGCATCACGGAGGAAACCTCCGGCTTGAAACTGCCGGCTGATGGAGGATAAGATTCGGCAAGGACCGCGAGGGAGCTTGGAGAGGAGACTTGAACGTATCTGTCTAAACCTAATTGGACCAAGGCTTTGTGGATGTTGATCATCGCTGGCATCATGTATCTATTACACACACAAAATGAAAGCAAAGTTAGCATTATTGGACAAAATCTTTAATTAACACCTAACTGAATAAAACAATATAAATAGTTTTTGTAATTTATTTTTACTCTGTTAATGTTTCTCTATAATCATAGAAAAAATAATTTAAATTGTTATATACACAAAATTTAGTGTGAATATGCGTTAGTTGGTGATTAGTTGTTTTGAGAAATCCAGAGTCTTTTACCTTTATGACGTTTTTAGTTGCTCAACATTATACAAATCGAAGTGGAGTATTTGTTTTCTAATGTGGTGGTTCTAATTGGCCAAACTTTACTAATAGTTTAGTTTAGATTTGAGATTAAAGGATTATTAATTACCCGATTAAACTAGAGTCTTCGTCGGTGAAAAGCTCATTTCCGACCATGATTCCGGTGATCCTTGTGGCCGGAACATATGGTTTGATGTGAGAATCCACCCATTGGAGAGCTTGTTGAGGATCTTGTAACAACGTTAAAACTTGATTTTCTATGGTGACGATGATCTCTATGTTTGAATTTGCGAAGGCACTAAGAATTTGAGGATTAGTGTCGTAGATTCTTGTTTTGGTGATCCTTAGAGATCTCAAGAGGTTAATAACTTTATCTGGTGAAGGCAAATTATTCCCAACTTGTCCGTAATTGATTCCAAGGGACGTTACCCTTTGTAGTATATTCCCTGCATTTATTTCCAATCAAAGAATCCGATTTTTAAAAAAAATAATGCCATGCAACACCTTTATACTTAAACATTAAAAAAACAGAGGTTTCAAGATCAGTTACTAAAATTGATATAATCGTATCGATAGGGATACTAAATATGACAAACTAATGACTGATAAAAGAATAATATATATTAATTTAAATCACCTGAGAAAACGAGAGAAAGCAGGAGAAGAACGTTTATGAGATTAGGAAGTCTTGTGAATGTTTTTGATGTCATGTTGAGGAAGAAAAAGAGAGAGGAGGGAGAGATTGTGAAGCTTTTGGGTTTTAAGAAAGGGTTTAGGGGAATATATATAGATTACACAAGAAGCCAGCCTAGTTGAAGAATACTTTTCTTTGCTTGTTTGTTATTTATTTTCTGCCGTTGTTTTTATTTTGTAAAATGAAAAGGTTTAGGTTTGAAGTTTTTGTTTTCTAATATATTTTAGCTGGGTAGCTTTGCCTTCCCTATATTGCTTTTCTCATTTATGCCTTTGTTATCCATTGAGGGCTTTGTATTAACCAGAACGAGGGATTTCTTATTAAAATTATATTATTAGGCTCCATGACACTAAGTTTTGCAAGCACATGTATGGAAATACATTTGTGTGTTTTTCTTTACTTGTATTATACAAGTTGTGCTAGCGTTAGTGCTTTGTTGAAGAAGGTAAGCAATGTTATTGAATTGACAAAAGAAAAGAGAATAAGAATGGGATACACATAAGTGGACATAATAGAAAATTGCAAAACTCGAATAAAGTACCGGAAATACTTGAAAATTCGTTTCAACTGAGTATGTTGAGGGTCAATTAGAACAAACGTTTGCACTATCTACACTAAATTATTATCTTTAATATTTGTATATAAATTATTTTTGTAGTCTTACAATTCCTACTGAAGTAAAGTCTAAAACAAATTCAATAATATATGTCTGATAAAATCGTATGCGTATATGTTTTGATACTAGACTACGGTAATATTTGAACACAAATTTCAACAAAAAAAAGAAAACGTTAGTTTAATGGTAATCTTAAACGATTCGAAGGACAATGATCGCATTTTCGCATGAATCTTGACTGCAAGTGTATACTAACCTTACATATTGACCAGAAAACATCGAGTAGATCTCTTGAGACAAAAGCCATTATTTGACTTGACGTGTCAAAGGATTCAAAGGTACACTGAAGGAAGCCTCCTCCGTTTCTCCTTTAAAGTTTAATTTTATTTTTCTGACTCAATATTTAATATTCAAATCTCCCGGGAACTATATATTTATCAAATGTACTAATGTAGTCAAGATTATTGACCGACACTAATCCTAAGCTATATGACGAGCGTATTATTCAAATTGTTAGTAGAGGAAAATAAAACCTCGACTGTTTTTTGATACCATTGATATATTTCGTTTTACCTTAACTGATGTGAAAAAGGAAAATCCGAGTTATTGTTAAAGTCCCCAACATATTTTGAATTGTCCAACAAAAAAGTATATATATAAGAGTTTTACAAAACTATATACTCTCTCCATTTCTTAAACAGTGCCACTTTACCATTTTTCTTGTGTAATTTTAAAATTTCAATACAAATTCTATTTAATCTTAGCTTAATATTAATTGCAAAATGCATTTATTTTATAATTAAATTATTTATAATTAATCGGTTTTTAATATGTATGAAAATAATTAATATTTTATTTTAATATGTTTTTCATATCAGAAATAGGGATGTTCTATTTAGGATTTGAATGATTATAATCGCACTCCACTACATCATAGTTAATAATAACAAAAATCTCTATATAAATCTATATAACAATTCAAATCTTTTTTGCTGATGAAAACTATCAAAATAAATAATAAATTTTAACGTTAAAAGACATGAATATACATTGACACTAATTAAAAACATTAGAACACCCCCATTGAAGATAGCTCATTCAAGTTCCTAAAATATATTATGAGTATTAGATTAAATATCTCCAAATGGTTGTCAAAAAAGTATCTCTAAATGATAAAAATCTCATATCAAACTATCTCATTTGAAATATTTTGGTATATATTTTTCATCAGTTAAATATTTTTATTTATATTTTGTTTTTCAAAATATATTGTTAAAAATTTACACTTATATATGAATTAAGGATCACATGTTAAAATAAAAGTAAAATGGTCAATTAGGATTGCGAAGTTGCTTTCGCTGGGAATAAGACAAGTTGGCGGAGCAGTGTAACACACTTGGAGGCGTCGGTCAGTTTCAACCATCGGTATTTTTTTGAGCCAACAATAAAACCTATCAAACAAATTAATTTAAGTTTCGGACCAGTGACATACACGCACACATGCAAGTGCTGGGTTTGGTTGGCTATTGATTTGTTAATTTGATTAATTTCTACTGACTATACTTTTTTATCTTTTAAGTTGAAAAGTAAAAATAAAAAAGTTAAATTTGATCACGTAGACGATAGTCAATTCGTTTTCTTGAAAGGTTGGCTAGCTAGAATTTTAATAGTAAATCTTTTGGCGGCATCGAACTAGCTAATTTAAAATACGTTGGTGTCACCTTTTAAATTCTATATTATTAATCTTCTCTTTTTCGCGACACCAAGAGCCATTTTATTTGAACACATGTATACTAGTTATAAAAAGTATAGATATCCCAAAGTGCGATTGAATATTTTGTGGTTTTCATAATCCTTTCTTGTTCTATGTAAGGATTAAATATTTGAATGAGTCAAAATCAGTCAATTATCCAGGTCAGCCTGTGTATAGTTGGATGAAAACTTTCGACGTTTAAAATTTTCGGTTTTGCGGTCAAGGATGGATCACTGGTCGACTTATGGCAGTTCCATAGATTGAATGACGTAATTATTTCATTCACCGCCTAAAAAGTTAAAACACGTCGTGTTCGATTATGACTGTGTAAAATTTTGGGTGAATTGACTCAATACCATAAAAGAGAAAAATACCTTAACATTAAGAAAGAAAGTGGTAAATGGGGAGAAAAGATCGAACTGAATCACCCATGTTAATGTAAGCTGAGAGGTTAACATCATTAGAAATTTAGAATGTGTCATGAAGACGATAATATAGGAGTAGGAGTGTCCTAGAATTTCTACGTGCCACGTCCATTTGCACGAAACAATTTGCTGGATTTTTGGAAAAAGAAATTCAACTTCATTAACAAATAGAAATTCACGTTAAGGAGACCGTAAAATCTGCACAAGCAACTATTTATGAAACGGATCAGACGAAATAACCAGCATACAACTTTCCGGAACTGTCTAGGTTAGACTGGACTGGACCGACATGTTTTATACCTTTAGTTACAATGTGTCTATAACGTGTGTATGACTATTTGCAAAGTGAAATTTTTGAATGTCAAAAGCGATTTTATTCTTAATTAGATTCGAGTATATAGCTATATATAACGTGTATATGCATTTTCTTAACGTCAAGCATGTATTTTTCATATATATTAGTCTACAACTGCTTGTTACCTTCATACATTAGCGAAAATAATATAAAATTGACGTCATATTAGGAGAGCAGATATTGTGGGCCATTCTACGCAAAAAAAAAAACATATAAAATCGAGTCAAAATGGTGTAAGCATAAAGATATATTTTTTAAAAAAAATGTAAGCATAAAGATATTTCTTCTTTTCATAAAGTTGCCTTCAAAATTGAATTTTAATTTTAGATAATGGATAAGGATTAAGAGACAATATTTTTGCATAAGAAAAAAAACCTTTATGATGCGAGTAAGAAAGTTAAGGTCTTATCCTTCGACTATATAGTGCTTTCTCGATAACCAGTAAACAACGTGCATGCATGGATAAAAGCTTTTACGTGTGCTTTTTCCTTTACTAATTTAAATTAACTTTTCAATTATACTACTCAAAGTGTTTTTCATTTATGACGCGCATACGTAAAAAGGGCCTTAATCTATGTGTATGTTTTTCTTTTTCCTCCACCTTCTTCTGGTATAAACGACAAGAAAATGAGAAATTTTGAACAATTTTATAAAAAGTATGTAAATTTGGGTGCGACATTAATGGATAAGACACGTAAGACAGTGGACATTTATATCGAAGTTCACATTTTATATTTGAATCAGCTTATATACGGTTGGTAGAGTTGTCGTACGTCTTGTCTTATGTCATAATATAAGCTTTGAGGCATTTACAATTCATATAACTTCTTTTATCCAATAAACGATTAAATATACTAAGGAATACAACGACGTTTCTTATAAATATTCGATTGAAAAATCACAAATATTAAACCGGCGTTACAGAAAATGACCTACTACACGTTTGTTATCATAATGACAAAAAAGGATGGAAGCGATTCTAAAATGACAAATCCAACATGTTGTGTTGCATGCATGTGCGTCATTTTCTTTATCCTTTTAGATATGTTTTACAGGATCTAGTTTACAATACGGGGTTGTTAATAGTTAACTTATTGCAAAAATATAAATTTTAGAAGAGGAAAAATTTTGATTCCATAGAACATAATTAATCTGGAGTTCTTAGGATGAGATTTTTAACGGAAATTAAAAAATTATTTCTAATTTTTAACTAAAAATCTAAGAACTGGTTCTTAAAATCTTTATTTAATTAACTTTCACTAAAAAATCTCATCATAAGAATTCTGAATTAACTATGGTCTTAGAAGTGGTTTGACTTTTTGGTCGACTTAAAAAAATTGGTGTGAATTTGATGATTATTAACAAAACAGAGCACCTAAATTCGAGAGTGATTGATCTTAGACTGTAATTTCATTAGTTGTATATATATATATGCGTGTTAGTAAGTTTTTGGCCTTCGTGAATGGGTCGTCGGTGTATATGTTTCTTTAGTCACTTCTTAGAACCATCTTTCTCTTTATCGTTATCCAAGGGATAATCTAGTACAATTTTGTTAGACATTTGCATTGCTTTTTCCGGCACATGGCTTGACATGATGTGTGTGTGGATTCACATTCGTGCATATGCATATAATATGTGACGATTCGCATCAGAAAAGGAGATCCCCAAAAGGAAATACTTTTCTTTCCGCCAAAAACTTAAAAGAAGAGTAATTGCATCCTATACCCCATAAAACAAGCAATTAAAGTAAACGAATTAAAAATTATCAAACAAATTTTGATAAAAAAAAAAGTAAACGAATTAAAAATGAAAATTCATTTTGTAACAAGTTACAGTACCGACAATATATTTCTCAGATGGCACAGACATGCCCGATAAATAACACCATTAATACGTTTGCTG